CACTAATATATTTCTTCCAGACGAGCAAAGTTTCGCAGATGAATAGCACTTGGTCGAATACCATTTAACTTTAATCTCTTTCTTACCAATCACTAACGATAAACTATGCAGTATTGTACAACGAATGCGTGGTCGAATAATGACTGCACAGCTGGAAATCAGCGGTCAGATAACGGTAATTTTTATGACGCAAGTAAGTCTGTGTCATTCTTCCTTGCTGACGCTCACAAACTGCATGTTTGTTAGCTGTTGTGGTTTTTTGATTTCTATTATCAAATTCTGCAGGGAAGAAGGTTTCAGACTTCTTCCCGGCATTTATAGGATTTTTTTACGACAAAAATCAAACTTTTAAAGTTTAAGCTGAAAATGGGAAGATGTTTTACCTAGCTTTGATTGTGCTTTGTTTTATTCTTTTTATGAAATTTCATTATTCGTTATTAACCTTTGTGAGAGGCCACTGTTGGTGAAAGTTCATTTCATAAATTGACTGATATTTCAACAATTCTAGCATTTGGGGCAGGAGGCTATGGTGGAGATTCCTCCGATTCTGACCTCGTAGTTGCTAATGACGGTGCTTTAATGAACGACGATAGCTCTTCATGTAGCGACACCGATTTCAATATGGGTAATACAGTTAATGAAGTCGATCTGATATATTTAACTGCCTCAACTCTCTCCAGTTGTTTTGAAGGTGCAAAGGTGGATCAGTTGACTGGCCTGATGAGGTAGCTTTTGTATTTTTGACAGCCAAACCTAATGTTTTTGCGGCTTCACGTCTTAGCTATGTTTTTTTAACGTTTGAGAACGTTTAACTTGCGTTATATTATTATTTTAATTTTTTTTTTTGATTCTTTTTTCACTTGTTTGAGTCTTTCAGATCAGTGTGGGGGCTCGATCCTGAGTTTGTGGCTCGGCAGCTAGGTTATTACGATTTTAATTCTTTTCTACAATCTGATCTAGCAAAAAAGTATGTAGAGCTGGTTAAAGTAGAAGGCGACAAATTTTATTACGGTACCAAATGCACCAAAGAAAATGAACATGTTTTACATCGCATTCGAGACGATCACCTATCAGAAGAGCGGCGGTATGCATTTTTCACTGAAATTAGGTCTAACTTTTGCTGATTACTTCCTCACTTTTCTGTTTGTTCTGGTAAGACGTGAAGCAGCAGAGATCGTAGGACAGTGAATTGTTTCACTGAAATTTTGTACATTCAAAACCTTTGTTCACTTTTTAGTGATTTTAGTGGTTGTTGGCCGGAGCTCAACACTTTTGCGACTCGTTTAAAAATCATAGTTTTATCAGACATTGCATGCGCTGTTTTTTTTTCTTCAAGAGTAGGAATTAGGTATTGGTAAGGTGCTAGAATTTTTAACTTACTACCAATTATCCTTCGTTTATGACGCTGTTAGGTGAGTTCATGATTGACTGTTGTGGCTTGTGACTAGTTGGTATTTATCTAGCATCGCAAAGGAGGGACTTTCTACGTTATTTCTATGGCAGGGGGGGGGTTTATTGGGACAGATGGACGTAATAAGCAAAATGACCACAGGAAGGGCACGACAAAGCAAGTTTCAGTTCCTTCTAGAAAGAAATTTCAGATTATACCTGAAAAACTCAACTTTTTTTTATTGAATCGCTGGTGTTTTAATTTAAAAGGAGAAGTTAGTAGTTTTTTTAAGGCCTAATTATTTTTCGTTTGCTTTTTAGAACATTAAAGTTGTTTAGTTATTCGGTTTTTTCGTCTGTGCTTTAGTTAGTTGTGTCGTCTTTATAAACTAGTTATTTAGTAAGTGAGTAACAACTAAACTAAGTTGCTTTGTTGTCACATTATCTTACTGTTTTAGCTCAGAAAAACGAAAAAGGGAAAGGCTGATGGCGCTCAGGATGCCGGAGAATCAGAAAAACTTTGTCGAAGTGTGTTATTTTTTTAAGCCTATTTTTTCGATAAAGACTAATTGCTTGTATCAGTTTCTATCTTTCTCATACATAAAGTATGGAGTTTTATCATTAAAGTTTACACATTTTCCTGCTTAGGGCAAGAGAAGAATAATCGAAATTCTCAAAGAATTGGAAGCGTATAGAGAACCTGTACCGTATGATAAGATCCGTACTAAATATGAAGCCAAGTATGGTGCTAGCTTAAATTCACAGGTATGTGTTTTAAGACATTGTCTTCACGTGGAGCAGCTCCATTCTACGATTGGTAACAAATTTGTTGAAATATGCCCACTGCCGCTTTCTCTTCTTTACTTGATGAAGCGGTAAGGTAAAAAGGAAAAATGTCGGGTTCCGAGAGTAGTCGTGTGGGTGGAAGTGTTTTGTTAAAATAGTTCTTTCACATGTTTTGGTTACTAATTTTAATGAGACTGCTTTTAAAATTTTTGGACGTTATGGGTGGTTTTTGGCGACACATTT